CTCTCAATAAGGCAACCCTACAGTATGTTTATCAACTCAAGAAATGAAATGTGCTCCTTGGAGGACATGCTTATAAATTTCCTTATAAATATATAAGCAAAGGCCATATTGGGAAATGGGTTGAATTTGACGTTCAAGTAGCAAGTTTTGAGGCATCAGATAAGCCACAAAAAAAAAAAAAGAAGAAACAGTTAGTGATTAGGTTGATAGAGACATTGCACTTTTACTACCCTTAGAGCATAGACAGGGATAAAGCAGCACCTTCTATACTATACCAGGACTTACGCAGCTGCTCCTGGCATTGGCTATAGGCCTTTTCCTGATGCACCTCAGAGCAGGCGCTCAGGACACATTCAGGCTGAGCTGATAAGAGGGAACCCAGATGAAGCATCAGTTGAAGTCCCAATGACAGGAGCTGTATTGGTAATAACTCTACAAGATATTTTTGCAGCAGGTTAGAGTTTGCGATGCACCTGTAATTCCAGAAGTTGGGTTATTTCCACTTTTCAGATGAGGAGAGTGGGCCCATTGAGGTTCCCTAGGCTAGTTGTAGGTAGTAGGCAGCCAGTGCTTTTTCCTCTGTCTGGCAAACCTTTTACTTTACTCTTAAGGAATGATACTTTTGAGGCTGCATTAGGGATTGGAGGGATTTTTTGTAGCGTTCAATTTGTAAGTAGCAATAGACTGGCAAGGTATGGATTTTGGTGAGAAGTAGATGAAGTGGTATTTAGAACTATGGTGGCCTGTGAGGGCGTATAGCTAGTACTTGATTTTTAGCAAGCACATTCACCTCTGATTAGATTAAATACATATACATCTATAGTATAGTTGTAGTTCTTTGACTTTGGCCTGAAATATAGAAATATAAATTCAAATATAAAATTATATTTGTCATATTAGCTTTATATATATTAGCTTTAAACATAAATTATATTAGATATATAGTATTTAGTATATATAGTATATAATAGTATACAATACCTAGTATATATGATAATAAATGATAAAACTATTGTATAGCATACTAAATAAATATATAGTACATGATATGTCAATTAAAATAGCTTTAAGATTCTAAAGCTTAATAAGGTTCATTTTATCTCCTTGAGCGGAAGTGATAATATTTTTATTTTACCACGTGGGATTGAAGGAGTGTATTGTTTAATAGTAGAGAAAGCACTGGACTAAAGTTTGGGGGTTACTGCTCGTGTTCCTGATGTTACCAGTAACTGGATGTTATTCAGGATCTCTTTTTTTTCTCATCTGTAAATTGGGAGGGTTAGAGTCAATCTTAAAGGGTTTTTCCTAAGATGTATCTCAGTGGCTCTCAGTTGTTAGAAAAGATGCACCTGGCCCTGGCATCTTAAAAAAAAAGTCCCCTGGCACTCTCCTTTCTCACCTCCACTTCTTTCCCAAGGAAGGAGCCATGAGGTTTTCCTTCAACGATCACAACTTTTGAGCTGTGGTCTTTCCTTTTACTGTCTCGCTACCATTCTGGTTTGGATCCTGAGATGTAAGTAACTGTTCAGGTACAAACTATTTTGTTCACTGATGTAACCCAAGGGCCCCAATTAGTGCTTGGCCTAGTAAACATGTTTTGAGTGAGTGAGTCACTAATATGTAGGAACTCAATGTTGTGGAAAGGAAGAAAGGCAAATTCCTGTTCCACACTGGAGTGGCTATCGCAGACCTGTGCAAGGTACGCTGGGCACAGGGAAGGTCGCTTTAGTTGGGCAGAGTTGGTATGGAATTGGGAACTGTTTGGCGAGTGAAGATGTTAGGATGTTTGAACTGGATTTTGAAAGGTGATTCCCTCCCAAGGGGCCAGGGGAAAAGGCCATATAGGTGTGTGTAAAGGCAAAGGGATGGCAGTAAACAAGAAGCCAGTATGGGTGGAGAACAGGGTATGAAGTATTAAAGGGAAAAGCTGTGGAAGTTGAGGCTGGAGAGTTAGGCCGTAACTAGATGACGGAAGTCTTGAATGTCCTGCAAAGAATTTGGAACCTCTTGTTAGCAGAAGGTCACTCTTGCAGGATTGAAGCAGTGAGTTATGTGATCAGGTTTTCATTTCGATGGTGCTGTGCATTTGGGCAAGGGAGAAGAGATGATGGAGTCATTAAACATTTAGGGGCTGTGGAAGTCATGGCTCCGAGAATGAGTGGGAGAGAAGAGTTGAGGATGATCCTGTGTTTTGATTTAGGGAATTGGATGGAGGTGGTCTCGTTAATGAGATAAGGAAGGCAAGAGGAGACTTTTGGCAGACATGAATTCAACTTGGGACGCGTTCAGTTTGAGATGCTTGTGGTCTGAAGGGGAGGTGTCCATTAGGCAATTCAGTGTGTATGTTTGGCTTTTGGGATAGAGGTCTTGGCTGGAGATAATGGATTTAGAATTCGTTAATTTATCAGTAGCAGTTAAAAATAAAGGGAGTGGATGAGGGTACCAATGGGAGCATGAGAGTGAGAAGAAACAGGCAAAGAACAGGAGGTGGGGCCCTCTAGCATTTAAGGGTAGAAAGGGGAGGGGATGCCTGCAAAAGAGATAAGATGTGGCCAGGGTCCTAGGACAACCAGGACAGTGGGATGTCAGAGGAGTCAGGGAGGGGTTTCCAGAAGAGGGGAGTGACCAAAGAAAGGTGTTAGATGCTAAAGGGAAGTAGAAATAGAGGAGATTTATTTATATAAATATAAACATAAAAGGTTATTTACTTGGTCAGTGGTGACTTTACCTGAACACTTTCACTGCTGTTTTGGGTTCTAAGCCAGATAGTGGTGAGCTAGGGAAGGAACTAGGAAGAAGGCCCTTGAGGGTTCTGGAGGGGCTCACCCAGCTACTTGACCCAGAACCCTGGGCCAGGGCATCCTTCTTGATGACTTCAGCTTCACTCCCACATCTAGTCAGACACCGAGTCTGGCATGAAAGGGGAGTACCTGGTGTGACCTTGAGACTCAGGCTTTCTGGGTTTGAATCCTGGCTCCATTACTGGTAACCTGTAAAACCCAGGGCAAGTTATTTAATCTGTCTGTGCTTCAGTTTCCTCATCTGTACAGTGGAGGTAATGAAAGTATCTTACAGTATTGTTATGAGTAAAGCGCTTGGTTTAGTGTGGTGCCTGGCCCATAATAAGCACTCAGGGAATGTTAGCTATGTTGAATCCTAAATATCCTTTGAACGTGTTCTCTCTGGATTAGTTACCGTAATAGTTTTTTTCAAAACAACTTTATCGTGGTATGATTTACATATAAAATTTATCTGTATTCTGTATATAGCACTTTCTAATAAATTTACCAAGTTGTGTGACCATCACCACAATTTAGTTTTAGAACATTTCCTTCACCCCAGTAAGCTCTCTCATGCTCATTACAGTTAACCCCCACCCCCACCCCAGCCTTAGGCAACCAGTTATCTACGTTCTGTCTAAATAGTGTTGCCTTTTCTGGGTAGTTCATATAAATGGAATTATAATACCTGAGGCCCTTTGTGTCTGGCTTCCTTCACTTTAATTGTTTTCTGGGTTTTTCTGTGTCGTAGCGTGTATCAGAAGCTCATTCCCCTTTATTGCTGAATTTTATCCCGCGGTATGGATCTCTATAATGTTTTGTTTATCCATTCACCAGTAGATGGACGTTTGCATGTTTCCACTCTTGCTGTTATGAATAATGATGCTGTGAACATTCCCGTGCCCCTCTTTGCGTGGACATATGCTTAATGGCTTCTTAATTGGTCCTCCTGCTTCTGTTCTTGTCCCCATTCAATCTGTTCTATACACTGTAGCTAGAGTGGTCTTTCTAAAGTGTCAGTCTGATCGAGTCATTACCCCACGTAATTCCTCCAGTAGTGCCCAGTCGCCCCAGGATCAAGTTCAGACTCCTCACTTGAAGAGCTTACTAAGTAAGAGTATTCAGAACCTAAACCTGTTTCTCTTTTCATCTACTCTCACTAAGACCCCCCTGCAGCTTCCTGCCTCAGCCATTCTTTTATTCATTTATATTGTTTCGCTCATTTATTTAACCACTTATTCAGTTAACCAGGCCTAGCGAGGCTCTGGGGATGCCCTAGTAGCCAGGACAGCCACATCCTTGCTTTCACAGAGCTTGCTTTCTAGTGTGAAATGCAGACTGTAAACAAGAAAGCATCAGACAGTGGTAAGTGCTATAAAGAAAACAAGAAAGGATGGTGTAGAACTGGGGCTGACGACTCAGATCTCAAGCCTGAGTGTCCCTTAGGGCCTCTGCCTGATTGCCAACCGCCTGTCTGATGTCCACTTGATGGCTAGTGGAGGTAAGCCCTGTTTCTCCTTGCAGTACTCTTATCCCGCTCCTCTTCCTAACTCCTATTCATCCTTCGCAGCCCCACTCCCAAAGCCTAGCTGGATGCCTCACCCATTGTACTTGGAGAACTTCCATCACAGACTGTCTGATTGAGCAGCACCCTTCACACTATATTTAAATGCCTAACGATCGCCTGTTTCTTCTACTTCACTTTAAGCACCTTGGTAACTGTTGAGCACCTAAAGTCTAGCCTAGTTCCTGGCACATTGTTGGTGTATAAGAAGATCTGTTGAAGATCTGATTGTGGTTAGTCTTGAACTGGAGGGAGAACTGGACCATTTTCTTGGGACTGGAGGGAAGGATGGTGCTAAGGCCTGCTGCATGCATAAATTAATTTGTAGGGTTAGGGGAAGAAAGGTGGAAGAGTTCTGATGGCTTCCATTTGCTCAGAGATTACAATTTAGTGCACAGTATAAAATGAGAACAGTTATTTATAATGAGCAATTAGTAGTACATTAGAAGAAATAAAAAGTAGTGCTGTGGGGTGCATCTTGAAGTCTTAAAACTGTTCTTACTTGCTTTTAGTTTTATAGCTATTAGAGTTAGCCTAATTTCTCTAGGCCATTCATTATACATATTGATATGGATGATTAAATTACTTGGATGCTATTGTACTGTTCTCTTTTTTGTTCTCTTATAATTGATTTTATTTTGATGTTGCTGTTTCAGCTTTCGGAAAATGTGATCGATCGTATGAAGGAAACCTCTCCATCAGGCTCGAAGTCTCAGCGGTATTCTGGTATTTATGGTGCCTCAGGTATTTCAGAATTTTAATTTTAGATTTTTTTAGTAGGAGAATTAGAAGTGGTAAAAATTCACGCGATAATCAAGATCTTCGGCACGTCTGTCTTTTGTTATTTCGATGTTTGGCTTTTTCCAGGGAACATGAGACAGGATCAGGGTTTCTTTTAAAATGTTTTGCACTAAAAGTTGAATGAATCTACTTTCAAACAGTGTTTGGGAAATATTTTTTCTCCTTCAGCTCCTGAATCCTCTGTTAGGCTTTGGAAGGTTACTTCATATCTTTTTGTGTAAAGTGGATTACTTACAGAGATATTAGAGATTGAATAGTGAATATTTATAAAAAACATAGAAAATATTGATTTACTATTTCCAAATTGTGAACTCTTTCCCATGATTTTATTTTCTAATAGATTTTTTCTAAGTTTATAAACAGTTTATTTCTTTATAGTCTTAATTATTGATGAAAATATGGTGTTAAATGAAATGCATAGAGAATTATTAAGCCTCATTTTATCTGTGGATCATGCAGGATAAGACAGTATATCTCTTTCCTCTCTCCTATCTGATCCATCTATTCATCCAGCCATATTTATTGAACACCTGCTACGTGTCTGGCACAATCTAATGAATGGGTATACTGTTTATTGGTGAAGTGGCAGTGAGAAAATAGTCAGGATGGTTAATCGTAGACTATTGAGAATGTATATTAGAAAGGGGTGTTGTATGGTAAATTCGGCTACAGGCTGAAATACATTGAGAAAGAGGAGATGCTGCCCAAATGCCATTCCCTCGGAGGCAGTTGTGACCCTCTTCCTAATCATTAAGCCATAACCGTGAACTCAGCTTCTGATATGTTTACAGCAGAAGGTACCAAGATAAACAAGAAATAGTCCTTGCCCTGTTGAAACTTCTTGTTCAGTGGGAGCATTAAGAAGGGTTCATAGTGGATTCATAGTTCACTCATGCTGGATAGAAAGTCACCGCTTCCTCCTTGCTGGGAACCTTTCCTTGGCTTCTGGGTCGCACTCTTGGTTTTCCTCTCATCTTGTTTGCATCCTCAGTCTAGCCTTCTTTGCTGATGTCCCCTAAGTAATGTCATCTAATTGTATGCCTTTTGAATTGTTGTGTAGATGCTTTGCCTCCCAAAATTCCATCTCTGCCCTGACCTCTCCCTGCAACTCAACTTAGACATCTGCCTACGTGAAATTGCCATTTAGGGATCTTCCACTTAATCCAGCCCAGACCCTTTTGTTTGCCACAGTTGCTTCTGCTCTCCGTCTTTCCCAGTAAGTGGTACAGGTGGGCAGACCCCAAATCTGTCTTCGAGCCTGTCTTCACTGTCCTAGCTCCAGCCCAGATAACCAGTGGCTCTTTACCTGTCTCCCGCAGAAGCTTCTGCACTGGCCTCCTGCTTCCCCTCTCGTGTCCTTCCGCTTTGATTTGCACACAGGGGCCTCGGCAGTCTTTAAAAAACATTAGTTCATGTCTCATCGCAGTGGTGGATCTCAGTGGTACATGGAATATAATTGGAACTGCTTTCCTTGGCCTCTGAGCCACACCGTGACTGGTTTCTTCCTGCTTTTCCAGCATCATCTTGATACATGGATATTCTTAAAATTGGGATTTGATCTGAAATATAATTTGTTCTAGGTAGATTTTTTTTTACGTACTGTGTTAAGGAGATAGGATGATGATAAAGATAATGAAATAATGATGAAATACTGATAAATAATACTTAGTGTTTGTTACATGCCAGCTACTCTGCCAAGTCCTTTATATATCTTATCTCATTTAGTCCTTGTAACCCTATGGGGAAGGAACTGTTATTAACCCATTTTACATAGAAGGAAACCGAGACTTGAAGTGATTAATTGTCTTGCCCACAGATACACAGCTGGTAAGCAATGGAGGTGGTAGTTGAATTCAGTCTGTAAGACTCTGGGGCAAATGCTGTTAACCACCCTGTTTTATCATTATTTGAATGACACCTTGCTTCCTTTGTTGAAAGGATGTGACAGAAACTAGTTGGAGGGAAGGAGCTGCCTTTTAGTGATGTTCTGCTTGAGTTCAGGAAAGAACCTTCTATCTATAAGTGATTGTTGATTTTTCTAGCTTTTTTTTTGGTATTGGTTCTCATTCAATAGCGAGTTGAAGGAGAGAAAGTGTTTTCCTTCTTGGTTGACTTCTTAAGCCGATCCTTTGAGAGAGTGGGTGTAGGTGGGGAGGCTTTCTATAAATGCTCATGGTGTGGCCTGCAGAGCATGACACTGGCATTGTGATCATCTCCGGCTGTACTGAGGAGTCCACCCCTTCCCATTGCTGGGTTTGACATGACTGATGAACTCTTGGGTCCATGACCATCCTCGGCACTGAAAACTCTTTGAATATCGCCTTGTGTTTTGGTGGTCAGGCTAGAACTACACTCTAAATGCTAGCCACTAGTCACATGTGGCCTTAAGATTTAAATTAAAATTAATTAAAATGAAATAAAATAAAAATGTCAGCTCCTCAGTTGCACTCGTCACAGTTCAGTGCTCAGTACACATGTGGCTGGTGGCTACCACATTGGGCAATGCAAGTACAGGACATTTTTACCGTTGCAGTAGTTCTGTTGCATAGCTCTAGTCTAGACTGCGTCAGTGTTTGGCATCGTGATCCTCATTGGGCGATTCCAATGATGTGGTGACCGAGGTTATGGAGCTAGTTGACTCTGTGTTTGTGAATCTTGTTTCCTGCCTTTTCCACATCCCAGCTCCCCCAGGATTGTGGGTAAATGGAAACGTCAGGGAAGATTTCCCTGGGGTATACCATCTTCACCTCCGGCTTTAGCACAGCTTCCCAACCTGTGTGTTACAAGTGTGCTGGAGGTACTGATTCCATAGACTCAGAGTAGCTGGGGAAGACCTCTGTACCCTCATGTGCCATGTAAGTTCTGTCTGCACCATGTGAAAAGGGCCCAAGACTAATAGTGCAGGATCTTTAAATAGATTTCCCTTACTCTTTCCAACCCAACCCAAGAAAAGAATGCAGATTTGCCATTCTGTTTTGAAGTGATCTTGCCTTTAGATTAAGAATGCAATTAACTATGATTGTGCAAATTAATAAAGATTTATTCTTCCTAAGATTTAAAAAATATGTGTATAAAAGTCTCTTCAGCGTTTGTCTCATTTGGGGGTCTTGTTAGTACTCAATAATAGATTGCTTAAGATTTATAATTTAGATGTGTTATGAAATAATTTTTCAAGTCTACAAAAATATATTGATAAAAATGTCATTGGCCTTTTCTACATTTTTCAGTGTCAAGTGAATTATATATTATATGTGAGTCGAAATTTTAATATTTATCAAAATGCATTCTTCCTCACAAGACTGTAATTCATTTCGGCCCTCGGCTATTTATATGTGTGAGTATAGGGCAGTGTATTTGATGGACGGAGATTCCTAGAATTTATTATATAGGAATCAAGTTTTGTCATATATATAGTTTTGAGAATATAATTTATTCTGTAGGAAAGTGAGTTACTCTAAAGACTTTACTGAAACTATTTTTTGCCAAACCTTGAACCAGATCAATGACTCGTTGCAATAAGTATTTGCATGTAAAGCTGTTTGGGCAAAATAATATGCTGTGTGACACACGGCAGATTGTAATGCCACTTTAATAAATGAATGTGCTCTAAAGAAATTAACTGTGTCCTTGCTGCCTCAGATTCTTGGCTGTGTAATATGTTATCACAACTATGTTGGTTTGCTTTTATAATGGGGAATTTTTTTTTAGGCTGACATTGGGGATGCCATTGCACATAGTTATAAACTTACCTTTTCATTAACATCTTGCATTTTAAAATTTTATTTATTTATTTTTAATTTTTATTGAATTTATTGGGGTGACATTGGTTAATAAAATTGTAGGATTCAGGTGTATAATTCTATAATACATCATCTGTATATTGTATTGTGTGTTCACCACCCAAAGTCAAGTCACCTTCCATCAACATTTATCTCCCCTTCACCTTCTACCTCCCCCCACTGACCCTTTCTCTCTGCTAATCACCATGCTGTTATCTGTGTCTATGAAGTTATTTTTTTCCTGTTTTTTGCTTAATCCCTACACCTTTTTCATCCAGCCCTGCAACACCTCTCCCTTCCGACAGCTATTTTCTGTTTCTGAGTCTGTTTCTGTTTTGTTTGTTTGTTTATTTTGTTCATTAGAGTCCACATATGAGTGAAATCATAGGGTATTTGTATTTCCCTGATTGGCTTATTTCACTTAGCATAATAGTCTCCAGGTCCCTCCATGCTGTCACAAAAGTTAAGATTTCTTTCTTTTTTATAGTCCAGTAGTGTTCCATTGTGTAAATGTGCCACAGCTTTTTTATGCACTTGTCTACTGATGGGCACGTGGGCTGCTTCCAAATCTTGGCTGTTGTAAATAACACTACAGTGAACATAGGGGTGCATATATTCTTTTAAATCAGTGTTTTGGGTTTCTTTGGATATATTCCCAGAAGTGTGATTGCTGGGTCACAGCAGCTCTTTAAGGCTCATTTAGACATAACACTGTAGGGAGAGTTGATCGTAAACAAGCTGTGCTTGCTCCTTTGACTTGAGTCACAAGAACTGAAGGGAGTTGCAATATCTAGGTTTCCAACTTTTAATGTCTGAAAATTTGTTGATGCCAGTGTTTCAACTCTGCACTTATTTTTGTGTGCTATGATAGATAATTTGCCGGACAGTTCCTAAAAGGAAGAGATAAATGCACTGTTGATTTAAAGGTATGATTTAAATAGAATTCTCTAGTCATTATAGTTCGTCCTTAAAAAGAAATCCATAAACAGTCTACATTTCGTGGGTGGTGGAACTCCTGCTGTTTGCTCCATCAGTCAGCAAATATTAGCACACAGCGTCTGACTTCAAGAACTGTTAGTTTGGTGAAAGCATATTTAATGTTATTGCGTAGTAAACAAGGACTAGTTTAGTACCCTTCCCCTGCTTAGTTAATATTTTTGAGTA